TGTAGTCATGTGACTGCTGACGCAACAACTCGAAGCAATACGATGCGGTAGTTTTTCTGGCCTGTTTTGTTCAACTTCAAGCACGTTAGTCTGCTGTATTGCTTGAAAGTTGAATATAACTTAAACTTTAAAGTAAGTGGTGTTTGTGTTTTTTTTTAACATTTCAGCCTTCTCATTGTAGTTTTTTGTTTTGTTACCCTGCCTAGTAATGTAAAACATAAGTGTGATGTCTATGTATTTCTAGACTATTAGTATTATTTTTAATTTTAAATATATAGCTCGGTACAGTCTAAAGCCTTACTAAAGTCGTTAAGAGTAATATATCTTAGAAATTAAAAATTTTAAATTTCTGTTAAGTCTAAGACTTAGTTAACTAAAGGAAGTTATTGGCTAAAACTAAAAGCCATAGTTGAAAGTGTTATATTGGACAAAACAGAAGACTTCATGCAAATGTTGCAAAGCACATCGTAAATATTGCTAAGAGTAATCTATCATTTCCCATTGAAACTGGATTTCGGGATTTAGACTCTCCTATAAATGAAGAAAATAATGTAGCAAGCCCTAGACCAAATCATGCTAATTTTTCCTCTACGTCTGATCTGATCACTGTATGTTGAGTTCTGTGAAAATAATTCTTTGGGAACTGAACATCTTTCTTTAGATGAAACATGCAGTGATATAGAAGAAGGATTAGAATGGTCTGATAACAGTGGCAAAAGAGATTTTGATACAATTGTTGATCAGCTAGCTGACTGGGCTACAAAATATTCAATAACTTTGGGTTAACTCTCAGCCTTGCTTGAAATTTTGAGATCTAGGTTTCCTGAGTTACCAAAAGATCCCAGGACTCTGTTGGGCACAGTGTCAACTTCTGAAACAGCATCTCAAATTAGGAAAATTTCTGAAGGATCTTATTACCATTTTAGAATAGTTAATGGAATAATTTTAGATTAAGAACGAAATCCAAATATTCAAGATGTTGACATAATTTTGCTACAGATAAATATTGATGACATTCCTGTATTTATGAGTACTAATAGTCAGTTTTGGCCTATACTAGGAAAGCTTGTTAAACCATTTGTTGGGGATTCATTTGTCATTGGCTTGTATTTTGGTGAGAAAAAATCTGGAAATTTTGAGTTCTTATTAAAGGATATAATCTACTGAAACAAAATGGTCTTCCTTTGAAATATCGGTATTAATTTGTGATGCACCTGCAAGAGCTTTCATTAAGAATGTCAAATCACATACACATTGTGTGAAAAGTGCACACAGCATGGTGTTTGGGCTGGAAGAATGACATTTGCAGAGGTGATTGCACCTCTGTGCACTGATGTTTCTTTTGTAGAAATGGCTGATGAAGAACATCACCTTCGACCCTCACCTCTGCTACACACAGGTTTGAGGATGGTGACTCAGTTTGCTCTTGATTACATGCACTTAGTTTGCCTTGGAGTTATGAGATACTTAATTTTGATGTGGATGAAGCATCCATTAAATTGTAGACAAGGTATCAACATCATTACTAGCATATCCAGCATTATTGTTAACATGAAAGCATTATTACCAAAAGAGTTTGCACGGAAACCAAGATCACTCTTTGAAGTTAAAAGATGGAAAGCCACAGAATTGAGGAAATTTTTATTTTATATTGGGCCAGTTGCATTGGCAGGAAAATTATCATGTATGTTATATCATTATTTCATGTTGATTTTTGTAGGTATTTACAAACTTCCAAAAAAAAAAGAGATTTGTGTTCTGTATAATGACCTTCCAGTCTTGTTTGTTTAACATTTTTCTCAGCTCTATGGAGCTAACGTGGTTGTTTACAACGTACAAAACTTAATACATCTTGCACAAGATGTTGTTTACAACATACATAACTTAATAAATTGTGCACAAGATGCAAGAAATTATGGCTCTCTTGATAACATACCTGCATTTCCTTTTGAAAATTTTTTGGATACATTGACCAATCTAGTTAGAAAGCCCAGTTAGCCATTAGAACACGTTATATGAAGATTATTAGCAAAAAACATAAAGAAACTCAAAAAGCCTGCATGGAATAAGCCAGCCTCGTCAACTCTATCTAAACAATACTGTAGAGGTTGTGTGTCACAAGGTATTCAGTCTTGCAAACAGTTTAAAAACTTCATATGAAAGATTATACTGTTTCTCTTGGTCCTAGAAATAACTGTATTTTACTTGGGAATGAAATAGTTCTTGTGCAAAATATCATTTTTATCAAATTTCAAATACAGTTGATTTATTAGAAATTTATTACAGTTTATAATTTTTTAAATTAATCTGTACAGTCTAAAGTTTTGGGAATATGCAAGGTATCCAGCTTTGGCAATGAGATAAATGTTGGTTGGTTAAGTGATGTCATATGCAAAAATGTAATATTGTCCAATAAAGAAAATTTTGTGATTATTCCTTTTATTTATTCTTGAAATACATTTTGTAAATTATTGATTTTGTTTGAGATATTTATATTTTCACTCATGTTGTTCACTTTATAGCTTAACTTGTACTATTCCATACTTATATTGAAATACATCTAATTTTCTTATAAGCAATTTTCTAGGTGCTACATTGTACCAGATTGCCACGTGCTCCTGTAACCTTAAAAATTAACACTGGCTTCTATTTATGCTTATGTAGACCTCACAGTTGTATTCCGGTTTTGTTCATAGTTCAGATGTCTTCCTTACTCGTTGTTTAAATATATTAAATAAGTTATAATGTTTAATACATTTATAGCTGTTGTTACATTTAGTAAAATTTATCTTTTCATTAATGAGAAAGAAAAATATGTATTTGAAAATTAAGTTCTGAAGGTGTATTTGTTTTGAAGTAGTCTATCTGACCCCAACCCATATTAATTAAGAAGGTTGGCTGTAAGAACCAAAATATGTTTAGTTTTTTTTTAACAGCATGTTAGGTATTGAATTAAGTTAATAAAGTTATAGGTTTAACCTTCAACAGCACACTTTTGTTTTATTATATGGGTGTTTACTGTACTAAGCTATTTATCAGAATTTTCTTTCACAGAAAATTACCAATACTTTATTCAGGCTCCATTCACATCATGTACTCTGTTGTGGAATGCATTATTGACAAAGAAGTAGCTGTTGTACCTACATCATGGGTTGTTAAAGACTCCAACAGCACCACAATATACTGCTACTGACCTTCATTCAAATGTACTGCAAAGCTGAACAAAGCAGTGCACAACTGCATGCTGCCTGACCAGTCAACTTGGAAACCGTATAAGTGTACAAAACAGGATTGTGGTTTTAAATTCTGTAATAATGCAACAATACTGGGAAATTTTCAAGTTTCTGTGACATTTAAATGGTCTATATAAAGTGTGTCATTCAATTATCATGTCATTTTTTTCTTCCAAAAACTACACTTTGGAAATGTGGATTTGTAAACATTAAAATTACTTGAAATGCTTAAGAATATTCTGACTTAGCCCTACAACCCCTCTATTCATATGTTTCTGTGAAGTGGTATGTCTGAATAGCCTTTTTGTTTTAAGATGACTACAGCAAAGCATGAAGTAAACTTCAGCTAGCAGAAGACATGTCTCGACTAGAATCCGAGACATATCACATACGTGAATGGCAGCAAAGAACATGAAAGTAAGTGGCAGTCATTTATGAATAATTTAATTATTGAAGTAGATCATAATTCACACATGAGGATTTAATAATTAACAAAAATAGGTTATAAAATCAAAGATTTTTAATTTAATATAACAAGTTGATAAATAATATATTACAGAATGCATTTATAAAAAACTTTCTTGACATACACGTAAAGTACAAATTTTAAAATTCATGTTCAAGTAATTTTGTAAATAGTGGAATTAAATTGATTAATCTTCATTGGTTTCATTCATCATTGGGCTATAAGTCACCTCTTTGGCAGTGAATCTGATGTTGAGTTAGAAAACACTTCATAGCCGCCATCCAAAGTCAGTAGATCTCTTCCATATCCACCACCACAGCTAACATTGTCACAAAATTCACAACCACACTTTCATGTAGAACATAATATGTCACTGTCCCCTGCACCTCATTTGTCAAGGAAGATCTCTGAGGAACCATGCTCATCTAAAGATTCTTACATACATTATAGAAGAAGGAATTATATGGGTCAGAATATGCCTTTAGAAAAATTGACTCCAACATTTTCAAGAAATGTCAGTGGGTAAACCACTTCGTTACTGGAGGACATTATTTATGGGAATAAATAATTAGTTTGAGATAAAGTTGAGTCATATTTCCAGAACAGTATCTTTAAGAAATTGATACTAATACATCTCTTAAAAATATAAATAAGTAGCAAAATGCAAAGGTGATAAAATACAGAAATTAGACTTTCAGAGAAAAATCACCTTTAAATCACTATCGTAGTAATTGATTTACTTAGCAATGTTTCAGACAAATGCTCTTTTTCAAACCAGAAACAAGCCTGTTGTTTAATGTTATTCCTGTAATTGTCATTAACTGACAGGCTTGTTTCTAGCTCGAAACATTACCATGTAAATAAATTACTACCACAGTGATTTAAAGGCGATTTTTCTCTAAAAGTCTAATTTTTTTGAAAATGTAAGCAGAGCCATCATTTTCACATTATACCGTAACTATGAATGACGTGTCATATGCTTTCATTATGTGCAGATGTTCAAACTAATTTCCCTTTAATTAAGTTTAGAAACTTCATAGTTTTAATGGCTTACAAAACTGGAAAAGCCATGGCAAAAATAGTGAGGTCTATTCATAGTTTTTAATTGTGTTATTCTGGATATACGGTTTTCAGTCATCATAGGTAAAAGTTTCAGAATAAAATTTTCCTTGCAGCAACATTAAAAGCAGTTGCAATTTGGTTTCAGAAGATTACATATTTATGCAAGTCCTCAATAGGTTTTCTATATCTGGCAGATTCTGAAAGATACCTACTAACACAAAAGAAATAAAGGTCTCATTACAAGAGATTCAACAGAATGAAACTCGTATGATGAGCAAGATTGATCAACTCGTGAGGAAAATTGGCTTAGTGAGACAAACAACAGAATTGCCAAAAGATATCATATTCCCACTACAGACTGAAGAAGATATTGCCAATTTAGAAGTGAAGTTGGATTATCCAAAAATCCAAGAATGTATTGTAAGTCTCTTTAAACAAAACTAAAACTGATCAAATAGTTATTTTGGATACATTTCGCTACATATTTCAATTGTACTTACTTACAGAACTGGCTTTAAGATAATGAAACAAAAGAAGTAATTAATTTTGTTCAATAATATTGTTTATGAGCAGTAATGGTTGTACAAATCATTTTTTAAAAACAAAAACTTTAGGAGCCTATGAAAGTAAAAATTTATTAAAGTATTCTATTCTCCCCCATGAAATAACATTGCACAAAAAAATAAATTTATTTCTCTACTATTAAACCCTAATTCTTCTTAGGACAGTTATTTGAAATATCTTAATAAACATGTGTATTGTATTCTATTTACAGATCAACAATTTAAGCACAATTGGGGGGCTCCACTTTTAAAGATGCAACTTGCCAAATTCTATGCCACATTTTAACCAATGAGGGTGGAAAGGAAAGAGGGAGAAGCAAGTATTTTCTGGACTTAAGTTTAAGAACATTATCAATAGTAAGCGAAGTGATTTAATAAAAATATGATACTTACATTCCTATGTAAGTTTTTTGTAAATAATATAACCACTTTGAAGACTTGATTTTTATTCATGGTTGGATGTGAAATAGTTTATCTGAGAGTCACTGTACATTGTATGCTTAGTTTTTTTGTGAGAATGTAAAAGAGTTGTAAGATTAAACAATAAAAAAACCCTAAAATTGTACTAACAATTTTTTTCTATGTAAACTTTCAGTGATGAGTAGCTCACCTTGTCTAGTCTGAAGTTTCTTCCTCTAGGTTTTTCTGTTTGAATTTTTCTTATATCCTAACAGTTACAAAAAGTCCAATTATTTAAAATTTGGAAGAATAATTGAAAAAAAATTAGTCTTGGTAGGTGTGTCAAAAACATTGATAATATTTTAATTTCTTTAATGCTTTGTAAAATGTTTGGTATTATGATGGAGATAGGGTGAGTATTTTAATTCAGGATGTTGAGCTGCTAAATGTAGCTCATCATTGTTAGATAAGAATTTCAAAATGATCAATTCCTACAAAACACTTATTTGATCCAACTTTAAGTATCATAGATAGGGCAAACAAAGTTTTACTCCTTTCACTTAGAGAAACTGTTTTTGCTGTCGTAATTGCTTTGAATCAAAAATTCACTTCTTACCGCATAATTTAACGATACTGATCGTCCATCACACAGATTATCCGAAAAATGTCAATTACTTCAGGAACTGTGCGAAAGAATCCACTGACATCGAAAGCAACTGATGACTAATTAAAAAAGAAGTGAAAGAATGGCTAAAGTTTGTCTCTGAGGGTGATAGAGGGAGAAAATTAATTGATGAACAAAAAAAAAATTATCAGTGTGACATGATGATGCATTTAAATTGAATTCGGGGTTTTCACTGGGACTGGAAGTTATAAACTATACTAAGTTCTTTGTCCTTTCTCATATTTCATTATGAAAACAGAAAATACATGAAAGCTGGTAACAAAAAATGTAGGGTACAATAATTTTCTATGCAAAATATGATTATTAAAACTCCGTAGAATTATATATATATTAAACTTACATGTGTTGCAAAAAGTCAAGAAATTAAGCATATATTGATCATAAAAAAGAACAAACTTGTATACATTACATTGTTGTATCTGATTTTCTAAATTTTCCATTGTCAAAACAATTATAATTAAAGTAGTAACTGGTAAGAGAAAATATGTAATAATAATTGGGTGTATGACAATATATATATTCATTTATTGAAAAAAAGTAATATTAAATCATAGACGAACACTCGGATCCACCTCCCGTACATGATATTTTGCATGTAAACGTTTAATCAACATTAAATCAACGAGGAAAATAACGTTGATTGAACGTTTTAGTAACCTTTCATCAAACGTCAGTGTAACGTTAATTAAACGTTTACATGCTATCTGGGATTCCCGAGGATAAAAAGGACAGAAAAACATTATCCTTTAAACATTGTGCAATAACTCTAAATATATCTAAGCATGAGGAAGAGTTCGTACGTATTCCATGTGTCACTGAAACACGTTACAGCAAAATATTAAAATTTCATATTAGGCTTTCTTTAATTTATCTAAGGGCCTAACTCTTATCGATGGGTAAATTACAATTTAAATTATATTAGTCATCGGGTCTATATAGTAACAATATTTGAACATAAATATGTTTAGCAGTAAAACACCTCTAAAATACGACAATTCTTTCAAATCTCATGGGTTGCCTAAACTCTCGTTCTCCAAAAATCTGTTTACAAACTTTCTTCTAAAGAGTATAGAGCCCACCGTTTCCCAGAATTTCTGTGTAGAAAGTTGTTATTAAAGCTTTGTCTAATCAAGGCAATACTACATAAATTTTATGCGATTTTGTTCCAATCAAGAGGCTGGCTGGCCAATAGTTTATTGGGATCTTTTTGGCCTTATGATGTGATAAAACAGAAGTGATAACTGACCATAATGAATGACTAGAAGATGAAACCCGATACGCTATTGAGAGTTGACGACGTATTATTATTATTTTTAAACAAGAGAAGGAGGGGTGTCAAAGATCAATTTTAGAAATATTCAGAGAGCAGGCGGTAAGGCTGTGATATAAATGTTTGATATGTGTTTTGCAGGAGGTAAGAGTGTCCTAGTATGGTGATACCACACTCGCAAGGATTATAAGTCATTTGAATCAATAAACCTAAGGATGTAGAATGCCTTAGCTGGCGGAGCATGGCATTTATAAATAATATGTGTGTAATGTAATGTCACGTTAATAAGAATATTGTAGATCACACCATTCCTTGCTGGCTCAATACGGGTTTATAGTTAGATGAGAATATAATAGTATTTCAATTCTACCCAATTTGTTGTCTGCCGCTGTCCACAAAGCCAACAAATGCTAAATAAACAATTGAAGTGTAACTTTTATATTAGTTTTTTAACAACATTTAGCTTACCCTATAAAGCAGTGGTTCCCAACCTGGGGTCCGCGTATGTAATACCATCTCATTAAACAAGTAAGTCTTTTAATACTGATGTTGTTTCTATATGTTATATATGTCTTTTATTTGATAGTGAAAAGTAGGAGAACGAGAAAATTATTAGTTAATAAAAACAGTTTGTTGAGTAGGCGAAATCTTTCAAAAACATAAGGGCCGTGGGGGGGGGGAGATAATAAAAGGGGTCCATGGTGGAGCAAAAGTTGGGAACCACTGCGCTGATGGCATACCAGAGCTCCTCAGGCCGACTTGGTTACCGTTGTAAGCGCCCTCACACGTCAGTTTCACAACAAACAAGATTAAGAGAGAGGATAAAAAAGCAAAATAATGCTAAAAATGCATAACAATTCGAGTATTCTTCAACACTTATTCTAGAAATGTGACGTTGTTGTGCCTATGTTTAAAATAATTGAAAGTATAGCGAACGAAAGTTTGTTAATAATTAAAGGGGGCGTCAAATGGCAGTTTGTACGAAATATTTCTAATCAGGCCGGAATAAAACCTATACGTAAATTATGTTATAGCAAAATGAAACAGTTTTTTTTTTTTTACTTTCGTTTGATCTGTATAAACATTGCACTTCGAGATGGAGAACAACGAAGAGAAATCAGTTAGCTATTTTACTAATTATCTGTCCTAAAGATAAGTGTGTAATTCTGATTATATTAGTTTCATTCGAGTTGCTGAATTTGGAGTTTTAAGCGAGGTCAGCTCTTTGCCCTCTCCTTCAAGCCTCTTGTGAAATGACGCTCCTAAATTAAAAAGACTTTCCTTATTTAGATATAAAAGCTCGCTCTGAACAACCAATAAACTACTGCTGAGCTTTTATTAGTAATATAAATTTCCCTGTTTGATCACGTCAATCAGCCAATTTTGTAGCTTATAACTATAAGAATTATCAACTGGTGTTGAAATTACAAGCCAATACAGAGTGTTATTATAACATAAAATAATTTACATGGAATATCACTGCATAAAATTATTTTAGAATTTAATATAATTTTATAATCCACAACATTAATTTTCTATTCGACTATGCTTTGATGGTTAACTAACATCTTAGCTAACACATGACGTTTCTACATGACGTTGTTGAATGGTCGTGAATTGGTAAAATTGGCAACGTCATGCATTATACGTTAGACCTTAATGGTGAATATATAAATATATATATATTAATGTATTTTACTGATGCACAACTATTTAGCAACGATGTAGGAACGTCATGTGTTAGCTGGATTTGTTTGTTTGTAATTAAGCACAAAGCTACACAATGGG